CATATGATATGTCATTCTACTCACAGTGTCATTTTCTATCAAATAAATTAAAAATATACCGAGAGTGCCATTTAAAAATCAAAAGTTGTAGTCATTTCTGGTGAAACATAAATTGACCAAAAACAATAAACTTAATAAAATATGGGAAGATTCAGCCGTGGCACTTAGCAACAAACTAGGACTACTAAGAGCCGTAGTTCTCAAATTGCCATTTATGGCGCGGAATTTGGATATGCCTGGACGTTGAAATTGGCAATGCGCACAGTGCTTCGAACATATGGCTCTAGAGGACAAAAATGCAAAACTTCTCTTTTATTGTAGGCAATTTATTCAAACTAGGTTTATTTGACACAAATGATGAGTACTCTCATTGTACTAAATGATGATATTCTTAGTCCCACGTTTATGAAAAAAAAATCTTATAAATAATAAAAATGTTGGAGCTGTGTTCCATCTAAGGAAATATTCATTTATAGTATGAAAACGGTGTAAGTATTACATAAATCCCTGTGATAAAAAAGAATTGGAATAACATTAGTACATGATTTCTACAATATAAACCTAATATAAGATAAAAATGTTTTTCTTTAATGAAAAAGAAACATTAATGCTATATTTAATTAAAAAAAAACTTAAGATACTATAAATTTACTTTAGGACAACAAAATGCATAGATCGTAACTACTCTGATTCAGAAGAATCACTGCTGACAGAATCTTCCAAATTTATAGTATCCAAATCACAGGTAGATGAAATATCCTCACATATAAGATATTTCTGTACATCATTTTCCAATATGTTACTTTTTTCGCGTTGTTACTGTTCTTTTGTTGGTATGAGGGGTTCGGATGTTAATAGTTACCTCTTTAATAGACCATATCCATATATTATTTTTTCGTTTTCTTGGGTATGAGGTTTTATGATAAATTGAAAGATGGAAACTTTTTTATGCCACGTTTCGCTCCAACATAGTGGACTTTTTCAGGCACAAGTGGTTGTCTCATTGGACTGGAAGGTTCATCAATATCTAATAAAGAACACATTTTTTGAAATACAAATAATTTTGAGTTCTTGTAATTATGATCAAGCCAAGTATTAACCAGATCGGCATTGCTTATCAATTTTACTCCATCTGAAAAGTATTATAAAATAAAGTTCGTCGCAAGCAGACGCAGGTGAACTATACAAAAATTAAAAGTGTATGAATATGACAACAAAAATATTCAATAAATACGATATGTTTTGATATGTTTTTTTTAATGCCTTTTTGAAGTTTGAAAACGTAAAATTTTTATACCCATTTAAGAATCATCTTAAAAAATAAATAAAAACTAAACAATCACGAACTTGTTTAGAAATAAATTTAAAGTACATACCTTGTTTAACAATATCCATAGTGGCTTTGAATTAAGGTTATACGTACCGTTTAACTCCATATACAGAACTACTATGAATGTTATTCTTTTCCCTGATATAAGATAATGATCGCAAAATTTATTTTTAGTGAAAATATTTGCTAACAAAAAACGCTGTTTATGAAAAATAATATACAGGATGGTTGAACATTGCTATAAGTATAAAATTACATATTTAGATATTAGTAAATTTTAACTTTTTTTCGATTTTTGTCCATGGGACGAAGCACTGTGATGCGACGTAAAATCGAGGCTTTTTAAATGTGGTATTATACTAAGAGCTGGCAAAGGTTAGTTTTGGGTCGAGATTTCCGTATGTAAGAAGAGTAAAATGTGTTTATAATGTACTGAACAAAGAGAGAACAGTGAAAACGTTGCCAAACGTATGAAATAAACTGAGAAACTGTGCACATTACCAAGAGACGTGGAAGGACTTCTTGGTTTGACCGTTCAACCCAATCAGTACCTCTCAGTACCTAAAATTCTAGGGAAGAATGTACATCATGCTTTCAGCTTCACGATTTAATAACATCTCGTGATACTTTATTTGCTTATTTATTAACGAGTTGCTGTAATTTGCCCTATAGCTTGTAAATTTTTAAGTGCAAGTTAGAAACACTTGCACTTTTGGTAAAAATAAGTGAAATTGAGTTGGTGTTCGACAGTGGTCATGTTATTAAAACTCTGAATTCAAAAATCGTATAACGCCACCTTGGGTGAAAAAGTTTATAATGGGAACTCAGGTTCACCAGGTTCCGTTACAAATAGGTTCCAGCTAGCTCAGTAAATAATTAAGTAAAATATATATGCACAGAACAAGAGATATCAAAAGGGAGGTGTATGGAAAAAGTGTACTGATTGAAAAGTCTAAAATGTACTGGATTCGTTTAATAAATATTAAATTTAATGTTAAAACAAATTACCAAGATCTATCATAAAATGTAGCAAATATTTAAATACGAAATAATGAAATATATATATACTAGTAAAATGAACTATCCGTAAAATAAATTAAATCATGAATAGTATCACAAAATATTGTTGTGACTAAACTGTGAACAATCCTGATGCGTATTTGAGATTATGATTAAATGACTGTAAAGAATAAAATGAAATTTAGAGGTAAAAATCCCCTGGTATACCAAGTTCACATACGATAGTATATTTAATGTAATAAATTTTAATCAATCATAAACGCAATAAAATAAGAGATGATTAAAGTCTTATCTGTCATCCAGTGGTCGTTCCAGTCAGTCCATGAGAAAATCCAGGTGTCTGGTCTTCAGTATCCCAGTGGCATTCCTCGTCACAGTGGCATTCACGTCACAATGGCATTAGTTGCAGTACCAAATCCAGTACAAAAAAAAATTGATAAAAATCTTAAGCTAAACTGTAATCATCACTAAGGAGTAATAGCCAAGGAACAAGAACCCTAAAATGTGATCTATTTTAGTGACACGTTCTAGATTGGACATAGTAAAATACCTTTCCACCATGCGGACCTTCCAAGACAAGATAGCGTCTCAACGCATGTTACTCCTTGGAAAAGGGTTCCTTAACTGTCCTCGTACTCATCCCAGTACGTTCACGCACCCATCTACAGCTCCTGTCCTCTAAAATAAATAGTTGTAGAAGAGAACCTTACACCTAAGAATGTCTTTTACCCAACCAACAAAGATATCCCTTTTCAAAGTGTTTTGCCCGGAATTCCAACTACACAGGCCAAGCTCAATTTCTTGCCAATCGGTCTTTTCGACCCTCAATGAATTCCAAGATCTAATTTACAAAGATCCATCCGTCAAACTTCAACGCCGGTGTCACACGATCAGCTGACAAACAATTGAAACGTCAGTCTGTAAATCGTAATATAAACAAGATGAAATTTAGGGAAAAATCAATTATAATCAGGTAAAATCAATTGATTACACACAGAAAAAATACATAATAAAATCCTTAACCCACATGTATATTGTAGACCCAACATTCCCACTTGTTGCGTTGAAAACAGACAAAAGATAATCACATCAAGTCTATGTTCAAGAATCCTTCGAAGAAATATGCCAAGAAAATATCCTAACACAAGCATAAGTCTAAATAAAGAATTAGTAACCACTGTAGAAAGAAAGGTAGGTTTTAAACAGACAAATTGATATCTTATTAATGAGGTTTTATATTACAGTTATCGGAGACAACTCCATCCCAAGAAATTGTTGTGGTGAAGAGACTTAATAGATAAGATATTATTAGAAGTTATATGTACAGTTAAGAAGTAAGCTAATTAAACGTTATTATTCAAGTTATTCAAGTAAGTTTTAGTTTTATTCCTAAAAATAAGCAAAATAAGTAAAATAAGTTACGGTGAAATTTTAAACCGTAACAATCGATATCTCGAAATCCATTAGAAATAATTGGTGGTAGTTTTTTTCAAAAACTTTCCTAATATTTCTGCTATATCTTCTTCGCAGAGAGTATGTAAAATATTTACAAATAAGAAAGTTACACGTTTGCTGAAAACTGCATAGCTAAAAGTAAATGCATGTGTTTTTGAAAATCTTTGGATGGAAAGAAAACAAGCATATCGAATATAATAGATCTATAAGGTCACGGTGATTAACTTCCCCCTTCCCACACAATCTACAAATGTCTAAAACATTTTTTAATTGCTTCTTAAACATCTCCATCGGCAAATACTCGATCCAAGATTATTGAAAGATCGCTCGGATCATTAAAACCGAAATTGAATCGAAAGTTTCCAGCCAGTAATTTATATTTTTCAATTAAGTTTGGCCGCAGAAAGAAGGAAAAGCAGCAGCGGAGAGAGAACCGAAAATTTATGCGAAATTGAAGACGGGCCTATTACCGACGTCTCTAATTATCGTCCATTATCCTGCCTGTCTGGCTTCTCGAAGGCCTCCTCCAGATAATCATTAGGAATCGCGTTTGTCCCTGTAATGAAAGATAAATTAATGTATCCAGGGGTGGTTTTGTTTAATCGCGGTGTATTTCGGGGTGGTCCGAAATGAATTGTTTTGCAAGCCCTTTTAAACAATTAGGGAGGTTTGGTGTTTTCTTAAGATGCGTTCTCACCGCCTGCGCCGCGCCGCGCCTAACATTTTTTACATGTACTTTTAAAGTGTATTTTTTAAGCGCGCACAAACGTGCACCGACAAACGTTCGTTCGCGCGCGCTCTTTCTTGCGTTCACACCGGGTTGGCTGCGCCGCTGCGGGCCGCGCCGTGCAACTTTTAAAAAATAAGTCTTTTATAATTATCTTAAAAACCATTATTTCTCTGAATAACTGGTCTTACCTTCCCAGGACTTTCACCTTGTCGTGGTGGGAGGGCTCAGTAACCTTCAATATCCAGGGAGCAATGCCGGCGGTAGCGTAGCTACTGGTAGGGCCACTCATGCCGGTAAGGTCTCGAAATGATGAAGGTGAAGCTAAGGAAGTCCATAGCATGCAGCGTCTGACTCAAAGTGAGCGGCTGCAAACAGCGTCTGTATCCATAGTGGGCGGCTGAGATAATACTCGCCAACACGCTCGGCAAGCGGGCCGTTTTAACTGCCATTTACCTTCTTAGAACCATGCTAGAGTCGAAATCTAAAACAAGATTACCCCAGATGGGTAGAGCTCAAGTCTCAGAATCCCATCCCGCTACAAATTCGGGCAGCCTCACGGATTCTGGGGGAGGCAAGAAATCGACAGACTACAACAAACAAAAACGAAAACGGACACAGATTATATCCATTGCCACTTATAATATTAGAACGATGAGAACAAATGACCACTTGGAAGAATTAGAACAAGAACTGAGTAATATTAATTGGGACATAGTAGGCCTATGCGAAACAAGGTTGCAAGGAGAAAAAATGACAACTCTAAATTCTGGACACGATATGTTTCAAAACAACTCAGAAACAAATCATAGCCAAGGAGGAGTAGCTTTTATTGTAAACAACAAATTCAAACACCTCGTCACTAAATACCATTCAGTATCAAATAGAGTGATATATCTAATAATACGCTTAAACCAAAGATACAGTATCCAGCTGATACACTGCTATTATGCACCTACAAGCTCAGCGAGCAGTGAATTGATTGAGAAATTATATGAAGACATTAGCCGGGCTAGGAACCTTGAAAATACACATTACGTAATCATAACTGGAGACTTTAACGGCAAGATAGGGAAGAAGCAACTGGGTGATACAAACTACATAGGAAACTTTGGTCTCGGGGAAAGGAACGACAGAGGAGACATGCTTGTAAACTTTCTCAACAACGAAAAATTATACTGTATGAATACTTTTTATCAAAAACAAACTCAGAAAAAATGGACATGGCGGAGTCCAGACGGACGAGTAAAAAATCAAATAGACTTTATCCTCACCAACAAGAATACAATCTGTAAAGATGTCGATGTGTTAAACAGTTTTCATACAGGAAGTGACCATAGACTAGTACGCGCCAAAATACAAATCTATACTAATATTGAAAGGAGAAAATGAATTACCAGATCAATGTTTCCTACAAGGGCAACTAAATCAGGAAACTTATCAAAAAGAGCTTGAAAAGAGACTAAAGCCACAGACACTCAGAAATCAAGACCCCAACGACATTCTCAATAATCTAAAGCAGGGCATAACTACAGCAACAAAGAAAATATGTAGTAAAATGAAACACCCTTCGGAAACTAAATTAAAACCAGAAACGACAAAACTAATAGGAGAAAGAAGGACTGACAGAGATGCCCCAGAATATGACACCTTAAATAAAACAACTAAAAAAGAAATAAGAAAAGATCTAAGGGAATATAAGAGAAACAAAATTTTGGAAACAATTGAAAACAATAGAAGCATGAAAGTGTTAAGACGCAAGCAAATGCGCGGAAAACAAAAAATAATAAAGATAAGAAACACACATGGCATTATAACAACAGACAAACATGAAATTAGAAATGAAATACACAAATTCTACGAACAACTTTAACAGTCTGTTATACCAAACAAAGATAGAGTACAAAAACACATCACAAACGTAGGATCAGAAGAGATGCTAGAAATATCAACCACAGAAATTAAATACGCACTTCAACAAATAAAAAATGGCAAAAGCCCAGGAGAAGATCGTATTACACCTGAAATGCTGAAGATGAGCGGAAAACCATTAGTGGATGCCGTGGAAGTATTGTTAAATAAATGTCTGATGGAGGGTAGAATCCCGGATGCATGGAAAAACGCAGAAGTTGTGCTATTATACAAAATAAGGAGATTTTACAAATATAGAGAATTATAGACCAATACGCCTTCTCTCGCATCTATACAAGCTCTTCACTAGGATTATCAACAACCGACTGTCTACGAAACTAGATTCCTATCAGCCAATAGAACAGGCAGGCTTTCGAAAAGGTTTTAGTACCATCGATCATCTACAAACAATTAAAACAGTCATTGAAAAAACAACAGAATACAATATACCTCTACATTTGGCCTTTGTAGACTACCAAAAAGCCTTTGACAGCATCGAAACCTGGTCATTTCTAGCTGCAATGGAGGACGCGAGAATTGATTCCAGATATTATTCCATTATTAAAAATATCTATGATAGTGCAACCTTCCAAGTTAAATTAGATGATGACCTCAAAACAGAAAAAATACTACTCGGCAAGGGCGTGAGACAAGGAGATACCATCTCTCCCAAGTTATTTACACTGGCACTGGAAAATGTCTTCAAGAAATTAGAATGGGAAAATAGAGGTCTAAACATCGATGGGGTACACCTTAGCCATCTGAGGTTCGCAGACGATATTGTCTTGCTGAGCACCGACATTCAAGAACTAAACACCTGCTAAATGAGCTAAATGACCAATCCCAGAAAATTGGCTTTAAAATGAATTTGAAAAAGACCAAGATAATGAGCAACAATATCCATAACATTACCGTTGACAACGTTATTATTGAAAACGTAGACCATTATATATATATTTAGGTCATAAAATCAAGCTGGGCAAGGAAAACCAAAATACGGAGATCAAACGCAGGATCCATTTGGCATGGGTAGCATTTGGAAATATGAGCAATATTTTCAAGGATAAAAAGGTGCCCATGAACCTAAAGAAAAAAGCTTACGACAGCTGCATTCTACCTGTGCTTACGTATGGCTTAGAGACTATGTCAATTACTCGAAAAACAGCAGAACAAATACGAGTAGCACAAAGAGCCATGGAAAGAATCATGTTGGGAGTCAATATTAGAGAAAAAAATACGGAATACCCACATACGTCAAAAAACAAAATTAATAGATGTCGTTAAAAGAGTGGCAAGTCTGAAGTGGCAATGGATAGGACATGTGGCAAGACAGGATCCAGACCGATGGCCCCAAAAAGTAATCCTATGGAGACCTAGGGGACCAACAAGAAGTGTGGGCCGACCAAAAAAGAGATGGGTCGTTGACGTCAGGGCAGTGGCGGGAAGACAATGGATAAGATTGGCTAGAGATCGCGAAGCATGGAAAAACCTAGAAGAGGCCTATATCCAACACTGGATGGAACCAGGCTGAGAAAGAGAAGAGAAAGAGACCTTCGTTTTTTAAAGTAACGCATGTCTATTTATATTGTTTGTCTGAGAAAAACCATATGTCACATACATTTACGATTCATATAATCACCATCGACTATTAAACACCCATCCGACAATTTAGCGGTGAATTTTCCTATAAATGATCCATCCATCTGACAAACCGGTTCCCGTTAATGAAATTAAACTTTGCCGAGTATATATCAAGGAAGAGACCTCGTGACAGAATTATGGGGTGCAATTTTCGGAACAGGAAGTATTTGCTAAGTCTTTGATAGTCTATCGCGGTTAGGAATAAATTTCGGCAACCGGGCGTGCCGAGGAAATTGCGAAAATTTCACTTAGGTTAAGGTGAGAACGCTTCATATCCGAAGATAAGTCAGATGGTCTGGGTTAAGATCTATTGCAACACGCTAAATGGTGCTTAAAATTCAGAAGAGATCAATATTTTTTATCAGACTTCTCAAAATAATATTCGTAACTAATTGGGGAATCTCTACTAATGATTGTAACAGATATTTTATTTAGATTAAAGCTGCATTAATTAGTTTAAAACAATTTTAATTATCGCCATGTCGATCATATGGCGCCACGATCATCAGCAACGTTGTCGTTTATTATTTGACAATATTATAATGTTAGTTATTATTTTGTATAATATCGTGTTGTTGTTGAATCTTAGTGACTAATTCTCTTTTTTGTCGATTTTAATAGTATTTTTTTTAATTGTACTTTTAAGTACAAACAGTTCTTTTAAGAACCAAATTTTCGAGTTTTTGTATTGCATTTCTTGAAATTTGTGTGTTGAAAATATGCCGAAGCATTAAATAAAATGAAGCAAATAGCTTGTAGCTTTCCTGATGAACTATTTTGAACGAGAATGTAACAATAATAATCTTTATTACCCTTGACTGCAGTCAGAGAAGTAAATTTGTGACTGGTAAGGAACATTATACCATTTTCAATGTTATTTCTACTTATTTCGATTTGTAGCGAGTTAAATTTAAATATGTCTACTGTGAGTTAGTGACTACTAGTGATGTGTCGGTATTTGCGGTAACGCGATTTTGGAGCGGTATTTTTTTGTAACGTCGTGTCGCGCTCCACAACGAATCAGGAACCTGTTATGAAGAAGGACTATCATAATGACGACAAAATTATAAATTATTTATAGTCGCAAATAAATTATTTATAATCGCTCTTGAAGTTAGCTGGAACACATAGCGACGTGTTTAGCTCCAGCCGTCGCAATTTAGTCGGTCGCCAACAGTAGTAACTGGCACTGCTATGTATGTACCGTCGCGCGTGTTCGCTCCAGCCGTCGCGTTCCTAGAGCCGTAGTTTCGCCTGTCGCGAACAGAAGTAACTGGTAACTGCAGTAACTGATTATCGACGCTCGACCTCGGCGGCGGCGTAACTTCACTCCAGCCGTCGCGCTCCTAGAGCCATAGTTCCATCTGTCGCAAACAGAAGTAACTGGTCCCTGCTGTAACTGGCTATCGAGGCTCCACCTAGGTGCGCGGCGGCGACGTACTTCGTTCCAGCAGTCGCTGGAGCGCTTCTAGGGTTCCTTGGTCGGTTACTATTGGCATTGGTGCTCCCGTCGCTACGTTACTTTCGAAATAGCGATTTTTGGTATGTACTAGGCATGGTATAAAATAGCGTTGTTTGAAAGATAAAAACGCAAAAACAAATGAAATAAAATAAAAATATTTTATTTGCTTTTATACATTTATATAATTTTTATTGTTTATATCTATTTTTAAGATTAGATTAGGCCAATAAAATTTTTTTTTTGACAGTGGTTTGGACTTTGTTCTTAATTTTAACATTAAATATATTATATTGCAATACATATAAATATGAGTCATTGATTTTATTTAAACAAAAATTGATGGAAAATAATAAGGAATATCATCGTTTTTCTAAAAATGATATAGATTGGCTATTCACAATTATAAACTCGATATTTGGAAAATGAGTGGCGGATAAAAGTTACATTAATCTACAAATATAGATAAGTTAGATATATTTTTAGCGAGGACCGCGACACTTTGGAAGTCGGAACCTCGGTTACAAAATCGCGGTATTTTGTCGCGGTATTTTTCTGAAACGGTCGCTATTGTAACACGACTCATGTGGAACCGGTATTCCCATCACTAGTGATTACCTTTAATAAATAAGTTAATTACTAAAATATTAATTATTAAATTAAAAATAAAACGTAAAAATCTTTAAAAAATGATTGTATAATAAATAAATTGTTTCCCAATTCTGGCAAAGCTGTCGCCATCGCTTGTCACTCAAAACTGACACGATTACTTTACTAACCTAACTTCGTATTTATGTTGTATTTGTCGCTGTTTATAGTGGTTTACAGTAATTTTGTTAAATTATACGAATATTCGTTGATTATTGGTTTGAAATAAATATGACGATGTCCTCCAATGAAAATGCAAGTTGCTTAACTCTAATAATTCTAATTCTGAGCTAGAAAATGAGCTTGTACGCTAAAGATAAGCTTACAACAAAACATAGACAAATAAATAAAAAGAGACTGACAAATATCATGGTAAAGAGTGGGACCGCGTTCCCGTAGCGCAACTCAGAATAACAATTTTGAAACCAATTAGCAGGACCATAGCAGGACGTACGTCTTTATTGCTATCTTTTTTTATTATGTGTGTTTTATATGAAAAAGAAAGAGATATGTATAAAACGTATCGTAAGACATTATCGCACATTCTGGCTGGCGGAAAATTTAAATTAGCCATTATTAGTAGTATTCTTTCACTCTGAAACTGAAAATTTTCACTTAAACTGATTTATTCCCTATACCACGTAAAGGGAACGTGGTATAGGGAATAAATCAGTTTAAGTGAAAATTTGCAGTTTCATTCAGAACGAAAGAATACTACTATTATAAGGGAAAT